TGAATGCACCCATCACAACCCTCCAGTACTCCGGACATGGGAACAGAGCCAAAGCAAGGTATAGACCCAGTGTGGTTTTGACGAGAAGTACAACTCACATGGGGAGGGATTGGGATTACTGGCACAGCAGGGAGTAGTGTTAGGAGGGTAAGACTGGGGATCGCAAGGATTCCGAGTCCCAGCTCATGGAATAAGGGAGAGCTACAGAAAGGCGGTGGGAGAAAGGATGGATGGGTAGCAGCAATGATGTCTGAGGACACCAAGTGTGGGAATCATTACTGTTACGTAGCCTGGATGAACTGAAAGTTTTACCCAAGTATTCTGTGAAGTAGATCCTATTACCACAGGGAAGACAACATCAGCCTCTCATCAAATGCCTTTAAGAAAGGTGAGGTACTCAGTGTTAAAACTCACTCTAGTTTGCTGACCTCTACAAAGCTCATTTACAAACTTACTTATCCCTGGAAAAGCAAGTTGGAAAAACGCAGTTGCAGTGTGGAGACATCAGCAATAGGTTCAAGACTGTACCTCTAATTTATAGAGGTGGGTGGTTTTTGTGTTGTTTTCCCGTGGGTTTGGTCTTTTGAGGCGGGGATGGGACAAAAAAAACCTTTCTATGCAAACATGCAAAGTGAACACCTTCATGAATTTCACTCTGAGTCTGTGGTCTCCTTGTATAATTTCTCTTTACTCTAGTTTGTTTTTATTTCACCATGTTTAAAAGTTTTTCGACAGTATAAGAAAACCCAGGCAAAGTCAAGACATTCTCTCCTTCCACAACAAACTTGGCATTCACAGCGGAAGGATAAAAAAGCAGCAGCTAAATTTCAGTATATTTTCTCAAAGCCATTTTGCCTTAAAAATTAATGAGCCAAAATAGAGGAACCATTAATGCCAGAAAAGCCATTGTTTTTATAATGTCAAGAATATACTCACAGGTTGTGATGAAAATAAGATACGGTAAGTAGATATTACCAGTTAAATATTACTATGAAGGCTTTATAAATAAACTGCTTTTCTTACTCAAATATTGACAGAACAATTCATATTACAGGATCGTTTGTGTGTCAAAGTTGCACAGCCTGCAGTGATCATTACTGTCAATGCAAAGCACTGTGTTTCTGTTTTGGCTTCAAAGTTCTCCAATTTTGCACGGTTAAGAAAGTAATATTAGTCAGAAAATAGAAGGAGGATTTTCATTAATGCTTCGCATGATCATTTAGTCGTGAACTATTATCTGACAAGAAAAGGTAGGAACTTTTAGAAGGCAAATTTTCTCATCTAATGCAGACAGGTAAAAATTCTCTTGGATATTGGACTCACTCTTAGTTTTACTGGAGTTACTACATTATTGCCAATGTAATCAGATATGCATCTGCTAATTATAGCCTGATGCACCCTTGGAAGTGCTGTTAAAGACAACACCCTTCCTTAGCCTTTTCCAACCTACCAATATCATTTCCATACAATCTGGACTTATCTTCAACCAGGTTGCTCTCGCCTCTCTCCTCACCTCCCACCAAAAGACAGAACTCCTCTAATTTCTGTGTGCTACAGACAATGGTTACAGATAATGCAGGTGGACACCAAACTGAAAGCACTGCCAGGCAAATCTAACTAGGGCTAACAAAAGGTCTTGTACACACAGATCTGAACAAGAGGTGACATCAAAAGAATCACACACATATGAGATTCTTGGGACAGGGAAAAAATCAAAACACTTTCCCATACTTGATAGTATGGGAAAAAAATGGAAAAAAACTACTTCATAGTTTTGCCTATTTTTGTTTAAAACATTAACATTAGCCCAAGGCAAAGAAAATACTAAATTATCCTTAGAATCTAGCACAACTCAAGCCAGCTGACAAACCTCATTGTACAAAGACAAATGTAAGGTCTTGCACCTGGGAAAATGTAATCCAGGAGTGCAGCACAGGCTGGGATCTACCCAGCTGGGGAGCAGCTCTGTGTGGAAGGGGCCCTGGGGGCCCTGGTAGACTCACAAGCTCAATATGAGCCAAGAGTGTGCTGCTGCGGCAAAGCAAGCCAACAGGACACTGAGCTGCCTTAACAAGGGCATCACCAGCAGAGATAAAGAAGTCATCATTCCAGTCTACTCAGCGCTTGTCAGGCCACACCTGGAATACTGTGTTCAGTTTTTGTCCTTGCTATACAAAAAAGATGTGGACAAGGATGGAAAGGGTCCAGAGAAGGGTGATGAAGATGATCAAAGGACTTGGAAGCCTGCCGTATGAGGAAAGGCTGAGAGAACTGGGTTTGTTCAGCCTTGAGAGAAGAAGGCTTAGGGGAGACCTTATCACCATGTTCCAGTTTTTAAAGAGTGGCTACAAAAGATGACAGAGACTCCCTTTTTACAAGGAGTCATGCGAAAAAAACAAGGGGTAATGGGTACAAGTTACTCCTGGGGAGATTCCCATTGGACACATGAGGAAAAATTTTCACAATGAGAACAATCAGCCATTGGAATAATCTCCCCAGGAAAGTGGTGGATTCCCCAACATTGGACACTTAAGATTTTTCTGGACACGGTGCTGGGCCATCTTGTCTAGATGGTGCTTTTGCTGTGAATGGTTGGACCAGATGATCCTTGAGGTCTTTTTCAACCTGGTATTCTATGATTCTATGAACAGTGACCACAGTTTTATCAACAAGAAATCAATGACTAATGACACAGAGAGGGTCTATATTATAGATGTATTTGAAAATTTGGTTCAAAATAGCTAAGTCAGTCTGAAGCTTAAAGTATTTTGACAGTATTTCCTATAACAAAATAAGACAGACAGACATTAGTAGATAAGCGGAGGCATTGCTATATCAAGGGTTTTCAACAGACAAGTAGTAAATATTTACATGAGAGAGGCACACCAACACCTCAAAAAAACCCACCTTCCACCAAATAGCTACTGGATATTTCTCCACTAAATCATTCATCAGCTGTAGATGGAACCTTAAGTAATAAGGAACCTTAGTATCTCTAACATTCTCCATACAAACAACAGGGAAAGCAACACTGGACAGACTCATGGGAAGATGATACCAAACATCTGATCCCTACAAACACCACCCAGATTTCATTAATACAATTAATTTGTCCAAATCTAGCTGTCTGTAGCCTGTGTGCTATTGAGAAGTTTCTTTAGAATGGAAGGATTCAAATGAAACTACACAACAAATATAGCCCAGCTTCACTAAACTATCTAATTTAAGATTAGGCCAGCTGAGTGAATATTTGAAAATGCTATGTAGAAAGAAAAACATGTACTTTTACCTCCTACACTGGCACAAGAATTCAAATTTCAGTGTAGGAGATGAAAGCATTCTATCTGACCCAAAAAGCAAAATCTCACCCACTCACAGAAGGGCAAAAACTGTAGTCGGGGCAACTCTGTGCAGCCTATCACATCCAAATGAACACCTTCATTCACACCAGAGAATTTCAATTTCACTTTCATTATCTATGTAAAAGTAACCATCTCAGTCCGACCTTCTCACTCAAAAACTTCCCTATCTAGAAAATTACTTCCAGACATACTTGGGGACAAACTTTTTAGCAGGGCCTGTTGTGATAGGACAAGGAGTAATGGTTTTAAACTAAAAGAGGGCAGATTTAGACTAGATAGAAAAAAGAAATTTTTCACAGTGAGGGTGGTGAAACCCTGGCACAGGTTGCCCAGAGAGGTGGTAGATGCCCCATCCCTGGAAACATTCCAGGCCAGGTCAGACGGGGCTCCGAGCAACCTGATCTACTTGAAGATGCCCCTGCTCACTGCAGGGGGGTTGGACTAGATGACCTTTAAAAGTCTCTTCCAACCCAAACTATTCTATGATTCTACATAGTACACACCTAACTTCTAAACTGGAGCAGTGGTTGATTACAGATACATTCTGTGGAGTGAAGAACATTGTTTCTTTCTCACTTGACAACCTCCTCAGGAGACAGAAGGATTAAAAAAAGACTTTACAATAAACCAGGAATTATACAAATTCACGATGGAGAAGAATGCTAGTTGCAAAGATCATGTTACTACACACTGCAACATTCAGTGCTTTCTCCCATACCTTCCCTGAAAGTATTACTGACTAATCTCACCTTTGCACTCTCTTCAAATCCAGCAAAATCACAATGTCACAAACAAAATGGACACTTTAATTCTTCCTTCTTAAGCAAAAAATTTTTTACGACAGTGGTGAGACATTGGATCAGGTTGCCCAGGGAAGCTGTGAATGCCCCATCATTGTAAGAGTTCAAGGTCAGGTTGACCAATCTGATCTAGTGACAGATGTCCCTGCCCATACCATGAGGATTGGACCAGATGGTCTTTAAAAGGTCCCTTTCCAAACCCAAACCACTCCAATACAGACATTGAGGAAACCTCAAAGAAAGCATCTGAAAAGAAACATTGTTCTCTCAGCCCACCGCAAGCTCCAAGCTCAGGTCAAGTGTATTTTCCCCATTCTTAGGATGGACTTTTTGTCCATATTCCCTACAGTTCTACAGGGTGGGGAGGTGTGTGTTTGTTTTAAAGAATGCTAGTTGGAACTGGATTGCCCCTTCAGGTGTTCCTGTTTCACACACAATGCCATTGCAAAGAAGGGCTGTCTGTTTTCACTAAGCTTTGATAACCAGTTAAGACCTTGAAACTGGAACCAGGTCTTCATGACAGTGCTCACCCACAATCAGGTGGGATCAGTGGTGGTGGGGGAGACCAACTTAAATATTCGCATGCTCACTATCAAAGTATTAGAATACAACCATCAGATTTCTTCCCCTATGACAGTGGATGCTATCATACTTTCACTAGAATGTAATTTCACTGTGAATTTGCAAGCTATAATTACCAACTTTCCGCAGCTCAAAAGAAGTATCAAAGCAATGTCCAGCTGCCAGGAGGAGTACTGCATAATTAATTCCTGACTGTAATGTTGGCTCTGACTCAAACGCCTTCTTGAACCTAGAAAAAACAAACATACAAGTTTACTTTCTAAATAATGCGATCTAATAGGGACATAATTATACTTTTAGGTACTTTAAGTGCTTATCTTCTGTTTACACAGCAAGAATCCATGGAAGCAAAAATATTTTACTGTTTTCCACACATGCTTTGTGGTTATTTTTAGGAGTCTCTTATTTATACATCCTCCTCCCATTTCCTTTCCCCTCACACAACAAGCACAGACCCTACTCATCCACCCCAGAGAAGTTATAGTATCTTACTGGATTTGCTGTTTTTCATTGAGATTAAAGAAAAAAAAATAATACTATCAGCTTGTAAGAGACATGTTTCACAATTATGCTTATTAATGGACTCTTTAATTTACTCTTAAATATATGAATTTTCACTGACTTGAAACTTTAGATTCTATTGTGGAACTGCTACAGTGACATACAAGCATATCAAAATGGATAAGCACAAAAGCAAGTGATACAAGAACATATTTCATATTTAGCTATGATTTCAGCTACTCCAAATTTTATTCCTTACCAGGTGTCTCATTGACATTGTCCTTATGAGTTTATTCACATTAAAAAAGGACTACACCAGATTTGATTCCACTCAAGAGGAAGTGAGCAAGCAAGAGGAACAGCAGTGGTATTCCCCTAGCCCAAATACTGTCTTAAAAGTAGACCAGGGCCTTGACACAAACACAGAACACAATATCCTCAAAACACCACAATGCAAGTTGTGGTGACAACTGCAACAGAAAATCTACAGTGCTTTAAACACCTTCTACGGAGTAAGAACATGTTTGGTTGCATATATACAACATTCCCCCACCCCGTTAGGAGAAGGGAAACAAGACTATCATATGTGAGTTAAAGAGCACAAGAGATTAGATCAACACGCCATTACAGTAAAAGCAATAGAGTTTAAAATTACATTCAAAAGGATGGGAAAAATCCAGGCAAACAAATAGGTTAAATGAAAAAGTGAAACAGTTGTGACATTAATACATAAGGAAGGAAAGAAAAATAATCTATGCAAAAACTAAGGATTTACATGCCAAAGCATGGCCTGGAAGGTAAGTAAAACTAAGACATTTTGTTCCTAGCAGGCCAAAAATATGGCTGCATTTAAATTATTTTTTTTATTTTGTTTGTTGTTTGTCCTCCTTTAATGATTCATGACTTTGCATCCTTTAACATAAGCTCTGCTTTCCAAAACTTTAAAACAGGCTCTTCTTCAATCTGCTACATGTGCACTCATTTTATACTCCAGTTGCCCACCTCCAAAGAACTTAATCATTAGACAAGTCTAGCCCTCTAAAAATAAATCAATCATGATGAGCAGAAAAGACTTAATTTCTTCTTTTCTTTCATCATCTGCCTTTCCTCTTGTACTGTGAGTTACAACAAAATGAGGAAGAAAGTACATACGAAACATTTTCACTCCCTAAAAAAACCCAACAAAACCTCCAAAACAAAGCATGACAAAAACCCAAACCCCATAAAAACCCACCAACCAAACAGGATGACACTATCATTGATTCCAAGTGCACACAGCTAGAAGAGACCCATTGGCCGGTGTAATCTGTTTGGAGACATAGCAACATTGGGAACTGGACTCCCTTTTTAGCCCTAGAGATCTTTCATGCTGTAATGCTCATGCAATACGAGGAAAAGAGAGGAAAGACTGACAGAAAAAGAAAAGAACTTGACAATAAGTATTTTTTTGTTCCAATATAAAAGATTCTGTACCTTCACTTTTTTGTTTTGCCTCAAAATGCCTAATTTCTGGTATGACTACCTAAATTTTTCTAGTTCTTGGACAGATAAAAAACTTTAAAATTTGAACATAAAATAAGCATCTCATGCTATCAACAGGTGGGCACATTTATGCTGTAAACGATGTTAATCATACAAGCAAAGGAGGTGAAGATAAGCTTAAGTTTACAAATCAGTTTCTGCTGGCACAAGCAGTTGGCAGAACAGCCCCCCAGAAAAACTTTTCTTAAATATGTTATCACAGAGGCATCACCAGCATTGCTGACAGGCTCAGTTTTGGCCAGTCATGAGTCCACTGGAGCTGGCTGGAACTGTCTGTGTCCAAGACAGGGCAGCTCCTGGTCTCTCCTCACAGAGGCCACCCCTGCAGCCCCTGCCACCAAGACCTCGCCAGCTACCCCCAGCAGACTAGACAGGACATCCTGGGAATTTCTGTTCCTGGGTTCTGCCTTTTCTTTACAAGTTGCTTCCAAATCTCCTTTCCCACAGCAGAAATTAGCTTTTCTAGCCATCTTTCCGTGTTACTCACACCATGAAATGCTAGTATCTTGGACCTCTGTAGCCCTATTTACCCCTCCTAAATCATTATAGCCAAAAGTATAATTTCCTATTTGGTGCGATCCTGTGCTGATGTTCTTAAACCTGCCTTATATCCACATAGCCTGGACAGCAAAAATTTACAGACAAAAATAAAAATAAATAACCTGTACTAATTAATTTTGAACACATGAAAACACCCACAGTTTCCCACATAACTCCCAAACAACAGTCACATCTGTTGGACTGAACTGATTTAAATTCAACTGATGCAATTGCTGCACATTGTCATGCCCCAAGTATCACTGAAGGAATCCACGCAGTATTGTAGAAAAGTGATAAGGTTTAAAATTCTGCCTATGAAGTAGGGGCTGGCATAGCTGATGCGATTATAAATGCCATCAAGAAACTGAAAACTGACATTTTTGAAAATGTTGCAATACAGACACGGAATTAGGGAGGTAGCAGTGAAAAGATTTGAACAAAGGCTTGATAGCTTGGGTAAGTCTGATTTACACTGTCAGTATGCAACAAGAAAGTGACAGTTAACAATTAGTCTTTCATCTCGTCTCTCATATTTGCATGGGAGATGTCTTTTATTCTGGTTTTTAATTGTCAGGAAAGCACACTGCCTGCCTTTTTTTTTTTTTATTTAATAGACTGAAGTACCTTGACATCACTTGTTGCAAAATCAATGCTGTGGTTCTGCTGCCAAATTCTCATTATCTCATGCAATTCACTATACTTCTCCTACATCCTCATTTCTCTAAGACTGCGATAATAACCTTTATCTCAACATAAAGTAACACTATTTAGCTCTGGAGCCCTCAGGACAGGAAAGGCATGGACTTGTTGGAGCACGTCCAGAGGAGGGTCACAAAAATGATCAGAGGGATGGAACACCTCTCCTATGAGGACAGGCTGAGAGAGTTGGGGTTCTTCAGCCTGGAGAAGAGAAGGCTTCAGGGAGACCTTATTGCAGCCTTCCAGTACTTCAAGGTGCTTACAAGAAAGAGTGGGACAGACTTTTTATCAGGGTCTGTAGCTATAGGACAAGGGATAATGGTTTTAAACTAAAAGAGGGTAGGTTTAGACTAGATAGAAGGAAGAAATTTTTCACAATGAGGGTGGTGAAACCCTGGCACAGGTTGCCCAGAGAGGTGGTAGATGCCCCATCCCTGGAGATGCCCCAACCCAGGTCAGGTTGGACGGGGCTCTGAGCAACCTGATCTAGTTGAAGATGTTCCTGCTCACTGCAGGGGGGTTGGAGTAGATGGCCTTTAAAGGTCCCTTCCATCCCAAACTGTTCTATGATTCTATGACTACCATGGAGGCATTGTTCCTGGGCACACCCTCCCCTGTTGTGGCCTGCCGCAGCACTGCAGTAGGTCTGCTCCTTCCCAAGAGCCTTCCACTGAGTTATGAGTCAACCTTTAGCCACGTCAAGCCGCCTGTATGACTAACACTAGAATTCAAATCAATACCCAGCATAAAGTACAACTGGCCCATCTGGTAGAGCTTCCGGCCAAGCTCCAGCTGGACTCAGAGATCACCTTGTTCTACAGCCGTGGTGCATGGAGCAGTCTGTATCGGGCCTTACTTGCTAGAGACTTCGGGGATTATTTAGGGGCTGGCCGGTCAGCATCCTACCCTGCTGCAGGAGCTGTCAGCCGGCTGTCCCTTCCCAAGGTGGTATGCCTGACTGCAATCACTTCCCCTCATTAAATGTCTGAATATCATGATTGCTAAGATGCATCTATTAAAAAGTGTGTTAAAATGGCTGCATGAAATATCCTAGAAGTAATTACCACTATTATAAGTGTTCTTAGTTCAATTATGTTTTAAAATCTCAAAGTTTATCTGTTCATAAGGCACTATGAATGAGGAAAAAGCAAAATGTACAATAGCAAAAGTAATTTCTATTTATATTATTTAGCCTGTGACAATGCCTATTATTTGTATACAGGAGTACAGTTTTCTTTCTGTATTAGTTCATGACATTAGCAAATTTTTTAAAACAGAATCTTGCAAGTTTTTTTATGGGCTTTGCCTTAGAGGAAATAAATTTTTTCTTTAATTCAAAATTACCAAGGGGTGAATGACAACAATTTGCTGCATTCCTGTTATTTCAACATCTTTAAAAAAAAAAATCCAGTAAGCATTGCAAAACTGTAAAGCATGACCAGCAATTATAAACTGTACTCATATTCTGAGGCCATAAATGGTAAACAATTATATCTTATCTTTTACCAAAGACAGTTCTAATCTGAAGTTTACTGAAAACAAGTGATAAATGACAAAGGGAGGAGAAAGCTTTCCATTCTAAGCATTTACTTCAACAGGCAGCTGATGAGCACAAGACCAGAACTAGGATGTGATGTGCAGGATACATAAACACAGATTGTCTGTATCCTCATCTGAATCATAATGGAGAAATCCAGCTCATGCTGACAGAAGTCTAGAATGGTGTCCAGTGCCTCAATTTCAAGTACATCACTTTTTGGAATTAAAAGCCTGATAGATTAAATAAGAGACAAAACCCCCTTTTTTTTTTTAACCTATTCCACATAACAGCATTTTAATGCATTTCAAAAGCAATAAAAAACATGGTACTTGCCTCTAAAATTAAGATAAGAATTAGTCTAGTCTACTGTGTGCTGCTTTGACTATCAATGGTAGTGTAGTCCCCTGTAATATGCATAATTATATGGTGATAAAACTTTTGCCAGCATGAGTTTTGCCAGGAACAGTCATATTGCTTGTGAGCATGGAAGCCAAAAAAAGACAGAATGGTACATCCTCAGCATCAGTGCCGAGTTAAATCTCAGCACCTTTAAGCTTAGCTAGCTAGTATCTGTCAGATTACAGATATGCCAATTGATGCATAGCTGATTATTGTCTGGCCCAGATTTCTAAGAATAATACAGTAAACAGGAGACTTCACATCTGGGAGAAAGGAAGAAAATACACTCTGATAAGAGCTACCCAAATTTCCAAGTTTCTGAGGCACTTTAAGAACTCTGTGGAACCAGACCTGTGAACAGTGTAAATTTATTATTCTTAGCAAATACGCAAAGAAGATTAGAAGATTCAGTGTATCCTGTGTATCAGTGTATGGCCTCAAGTTGCGCCAGGGGAGGTTTAGATTGGATATTAGGAAAAATTTCTTCACTGAGGGAGTGGTCAAACATTGGAACAGGCTGCCCAGGGAGGTGGTGGAGTCGCCATCTCTGGAAGTGTTCAAAAAATCTGTGGATGTGGGCTTCAGGACATGGTTTAGGGGACATGGTGGCGCTGGATTAATGGTTGGACTTGATGATCTTGAAGGTCCTTTCCAACCTTGTGGTTCTGTGATCCCTTAAGGGTGCCAAACATTTGCAATGAAAAAGCTGAAATATATTCTTGTTTAAGGATAATTTTCCCAAAGGTAACAGAAGGACATAGGCCAGGAAAAGAGTACTCACCAGAACGTCCCCTTGTCCCTGCTTTCTGTATCTATGAACCCAGATTCTAAAAACATGTCCTTGTAAATTCGACCAACCAGGCAGTACATATCTGAAGCTACTTGGTCATCCTGTTCTACCAGGGGAATCATAATTTCTAGAGCTTTCTGTCTGTCTCCAGGCAGATTTCGCCTATTAAAAAATAAAAATTTTGATTAATAAATGCAATACATTTAACAAGAAATAATTTTTCAGGACCATGATTGAATATATATGTATGACTTCATCCATGTAAAATGTGCTTCTAGGCTGAATGGACAATATTATATACACACACTCTCCCAGCTTCTGCTTCCTTCCCCCCTCGCCCCTGCCTTAATATCATGGCACACCTTTACAAAAGCTCCCAAACATGTTTTCTCTCTCTCACGAGGCATCAGCTAGAGCAAAGCACTGGAAACAGCAACAGAGGAATCATGAGGAATTCTTAGAAAGATGTGTTACTCTCTTATAAAATATAAAGATATGAACCTAGGTTTCCTATTTAATATTTCTTTCATAGTAATTCTTGTTTTAAAGGAAAAAATATTCCATCTTGTGTTTGTGATTTTTTTTTTAATACATACATTTTGTATGTGAAGCAAAAAACAACCAAAAAAAGCAAAAATCAGACTGAATTCCCGTGATAGGGAAGGTTAGGAAGTGAAGCCAGTAAGATAATATTAACAAAAGTACTTCAGACAACTAAACCACAGCATTGCAAGCATTAGACTTCCTGGTGACTCACAGTTTGAATACATACATCATTCAGTATCAAGACTGTCGAACTTTTTACGTATTTGTGTACTGAACAAGCAAATTGCTCCTTTCTCAGCAAAAGCTATTCTTCAGTGGTTTGGGGTGAGTATTATATTCTTTTGGAGAAACTTCTTATAATATTTGAATGTCTACAACTTGAATTGGGTGGAATATATAAAAGTGGTTTTGTATTTTTTTTGCAAACTTTGTATTGAAGAAGCTTGCAAGAGAAGGCTACCTCGGCAAGAAAAAAAACCACATCAAAAGCCACAGCCATCTTAAAGCAGGTAACTACTTGAACAGAGGGTCAGTAATGGATTTTTTTAATTCCCTCTCTACAAGAATGTATCAAAGTTTTGATGCATCTGCACAGGCAGCATCAATATCAAACCTGAGAGATCAGAGCACATGTACTGATACCTGAGTGATACCTGAGCTTGTGAGCTCTGAGCTCGTGTATGCTGCTTCAGAAGGAAGTCATGTGGAAGAACAGGTTTAAATCAAGCAGAACTGGGTAAATGAGGAAGAATGAGTACTTCCATCATAACAAAGATAATTAAGAAAACAGAGCAAAAGCAGTTGTTTGAGCAGACAGCATAAACTGCTTTCCTGAGAAAAAAGGAGTCTGAGAGTCTGTTTTCCTGAGTGTGAGAGTCTATGTCCTGGGCCAACCTCTATTGATGTCTCAGCCTGATGGGAAGGATGAATGAAACCCAGTGCCCTTTACTCCCAACCTTCAGACCAGTCATATTCCAATAAATTAGGAAAAGACCCCTCAGACTACAGAGCTGCAGAAGGCTCCCCAAGTACTTCTAGAGTGGCACAGCAAGGCTGGGGTACGTATTTGAGAGACAAGTGCTCCCAATCCCAGGCCCCAGTGAGAGAAATCAAGTGCTCCTGGCTGAGCAAGTAACAGTCTCCTTCAGGTATGTGCTGTTCTGGTTCCCCTGCCAACTGATCACTTGCCCAGTTGTTGAAGGTTTGCTTCCTTTTGTTTTCTTTCTTCAGACTGACCACTCAAGTAAAGCAACAACAGTAAGTCTGCAGCTTCTTTATGTTTTTCAGCTGACTTATGTTAGAGAAGAGCAATTTTCAAAATGGAGTTTCAGGTGGACAACTCTTCCACATTTTGTATCCACTATCACTAATCGACATCAAACCAATAGCTAGCTGAACTTAACGGAGACAAAACCAGTAAGGCACACCAGTATTTTGTGGTATGAGCCATTTATACTTCACTGGTCTCCAGAGACAGAGGTCCTCACTTTCCTTTCTGCTTACTTTTCCATCATCAATGCTCTCACACACTTTCTTGATTTAGGTCAGACTAATCCGAATTGAGCTGCTGCATCCTTCCATACCAGTGACCTAGATTAGAAGCAAGAGGGACAGCTTCGTCCACAGTAAACATACAGATGTGCAGAGTATTCCAGACCTGCCTTAGCTCAGGAAACACCCTCTATATTCCCAGTAAGGAGAAAGCTACAATTAGCCCAGGTAATGCCTTCTTGGCATGCACCAAAGCACAAAGCATTTTCATGCATGTAATGGATTCCAGTTGGATTTACAATCTGGAGAACAGAGGGGGAAGAAAATCTGATCTGAACTCCTCTGGAGGTACTGTGTAGACCTCTTGTATGCCAGATACCCCAAAAGGCATATCTTACAGTCCTATCTAGAAAAACAGACCTTGCAGACTGCAAGAAATCCCAACAGAACCAACAGAGGATAAGAATCTGCCTGAAAAGTTCGTACTGCAGTTTTGCAGTTTTTTTAGTGCCCCAGTGAACTAGTCAAGTCCTGTTTTCAAAGGTGACACTGTTTTACAGAACAGTGACCCTGGGGTCTAAACAACATATGAACACTCCAAGGTACATGGAGTGACTTTTGTGAAGGTTACATAGAAGTGGCAGATATGTGCTGGATCATTCCTTTGCAAAGCTCCACATTTTCCTGCAAAGCAGGAACAAAAAGGGCACTGTATTCATACCTTCGTATACCTGGTATAAAGGAGAAAGAAAGGACCAGGACATTTTATTCAGACAAAACAATGGCAGATAGCTTCTGAAAATTTTTGTTTGTTTGTTTTATTCTTGTTTTAAAAACAGGTTTAGTTTTCATGATATGCAGTTTTGAGCCTCCTCGGTGAACCTGAATTACAATATTAAATCTGTGAGAGAAGCAGAAGTATCTGTAGACATTTTCTACAGTTGAGAATTTCAATGCCTGCTGACACCTGGTCTACTCCTCTAAGTGTCAATAGCAAGATGTTCACTGTGGTAACAGTTAGAGAGCAGAAAACTTCTGTAATTTCGTCTGAAAAACTCCCCTTTTATTGAGTTGCCCAACTGCCAGCATCCTAGAAAGAAATCTAAGCTTGGCTCTCATTTAGCCGAAGCAGTGCATGTTGTTCCATGTGGCGCGTTTTGTGCCTATTATCAGAGAACATGAAAATTAGTTTACTACTATAATATAATAAAATTTTCTGATGGACATTTGATGAAAGTTCTCCTCCTGTCTCCTGACACTACCAGAACTCAGACTTGAATGAGATGATGTCTAAGCACAAATTGCTGCAGCACTGCCACTCACACAGCAATGTTGGAAGTGTAATTTACAGAGGTAAAATACTGCTAGGTATTTATTTGCTCCAGTTTAGGTACTGAAATTAAAAAATTATGCAAAACTATGGAAGGACAAAGCAAACATTCATGCTAAAGGAAAAGGAATGGAATTTGATAGCACGAGAGAAAAAGAAAGCTTAGATTGATCATGAAGCTCAGAGCCCCCAAAGTTGCTTCAGTGAAAACCCTAGACCTACGTATGAAGATTCCAGTAGGGAACTTCACTCACGATTACCGAGGCTGCGTGAAGTTTGCAGTTCTGATTTACTGTTCAACAGCAGAAGGAAGGGTAGATTCTTACCTGCTCAGCGCAAACGCATAATGAAGCCTCACATGGTGGTGGGAAGCCAAGTCAAAAGTAGGCAGTTTTTCTAAAGTTTTCACCAGTTTCACAATGGAATCGTAATCCTTCCAAAAGAAGGGAATAATGAAGTTTTAAGTGGCTGTACTGAGTTACGCCTATATAAACTCCTCTTTGAACCAAGCATCTCTCATATCATAGTAAGAAGTATTTTCAGTTCATTGTAAGTTTTATGGATTTCAGTTTCTTCAGCCTCAAACTGTAAATAGTCTGGCACTCAGAAATGTGAATATGCATGGTATTTAGCAGGGAAACACAATTTGGTCTCCTGTACTGCTCCAGTGTGGACCTGTGGAAAGTTTAGTACATCTACTTCATGATTAAAGTTGACTTCAGGGGCTGAACACATATCAAAGTTCATATTGTGCGGACATTACAATGCTAACTGCCTCTGAATTGAGGCATCCCAAAACTCTGAAGTAGGCATGAGCCACAAAAACAAAAGAGTCTTTCAGTACCACAGTTTTTGAAGTAGCTTATTCAACTGACATATTTAAAAAAACAAACAAACCCAAAACTAAACCACTTCAAAATGTTTAAGGAGTAACAGTTGAAATTACCTATAAGTAAGCAATTACTAGCAGTGTTCCAGAAGCTGAAATGCATATGAACATGTTATGCTTCCATGAGAAATGTCACAAGCATGGTGACAAAGAATACATATACTTATCGATAGCAGAATTTTACCATACCCTTTAAGTAGGACATAATAATGGTGAGATGGAGAAGAGTTATATTTTGTACACTTTCTAGGTGCTGTTATAAAACAACAACACTTTTCTGCTATGTAAAGGCACGCTATAAACAGTGTAACTACAAAATAAAGTAAAAAGCAGCAGTGAAGATAGCGTAAAACATTTTTACTAGTGTGTATTATTGTTAGTTTGTTATTATCTCCATATATATCTCTCTCTATATATATTAGTTTGTATATACATTAGTTTGTTAGCACAAAATGCACGGAAAATTTCACTGAGAATGTAATTTAATACGGTTTAAATGATCTTAGAGCACAGTATTCGTACCTGGATGTCTCTGTAGGACAGCAGCAAGTTTATTACAATGTCAGCAGACAAGACTTCAACATTATCCACTCGCTGTCGAATCCTTGCCAGCTCTGCTGCAAGCTCTTTGCCCGTGTAGAGGGTACGGGCCTTCCTGATGTCGTTCAGAATGGATTCCCGGAAATACTGGCTGGAGAGGGACAACTTCAGGTCAGCCTTGTGGGGCAGGTCCCTCACGTTTGTTTTTCTGGCCCTGCAGCTCTCCCACAATGTATATGTGGAACATTTATTGATAGAGCAGTGTCAATGGAGAGACTTGGTCAAACTAAATTACTCATTTATCAATTTGCCTCAAAAGAAGGCGACATGTCGCATCACCCTGAAGCAAGATTCTGACATTTATATTGCCAGCAGGAATGCATGCATTTTACACAGGGGTGCAAAAAGACAACTCACCTTGAACTAGCCTGTGCCACTTTCAAGAGCTGAATAAATCGATCCACCAGAGGTAAGCATATAGGCCCAAGCAGCGACTCAAAACTGGGCTGCATCAGTTCTGTTAGTCCCTTCATGAAACTGCTGTCACAGCAGTACACCTTGTTGTGTGGAGTTATCATATAAGGAACAAATATATAGTTCCCAGTGCACATCTGTAGGAAAACAAGGTGCAATATTTAGGGCAGTCATGGTTTGACAAGCCTCTGTATAAAACAACTGCGTATCCTACCTGCAGAATTTCACCTGTCAAAGGGAGATCTGCTGCTTACTTCAGCAAGACCAAGATTTTTACCCATGAAGTTTAGGATTACATAAATTCAATTTTCATCTCAAATATGGTACACACCCAAAATGTATTCTTTCAGATTTCTGAACTGTTTCCTGCAAGATGAGTCTTTTTAGAAGCATCATATCTGACCTTAAAATAGTCAGTACATCAGCTCAATAGCGAAACAATTCTGAGGGCACACCCTATTCACCCCGAAGCGGCCGGCGGACTCAAGGGACACTGACGAACGCTCTTTTCAAGGTGAGTGATGTTCAGAAGAGAGCAAGCACTCTGCCATTTAGTATAGTTAGGCTCACAGATGTTGAAAACAATAACACAAGCTAGTTGCCTCACAACAGGAACACTGTAGAGAAAACTAATCCTCGTATGAACTGCAAAATGGCTCAAATAGTTTAGCATAACAAAGGCAAATGAAATACCCTGCTACGTAGTAAACCTTCCAAGCCAGTGGGACTTAAAACCATGCACATTTCATAATGGAAATACAGACACTTATGGAACGTCTTAGCATTGCCAAACTGTATTATTCCTATATAGCAATGTATGACAGATACTTTGTAAAAAAAATAATTTAAGATTATCCTCCAGGAAAGAGGGAGGCAAGATGTCTGGTGCCTGTGGTATGTGTGTGAGCACAGATTTAAGCACATAGAAAGTTTGCTGAATATTTGTGGTTCTGAAGGGTCTTAACTATGAGACAGCACCCCATCAAAATCAGGAGGAGTTCTGCCATTTGGCTCTTGACGCTCAGACTCCACTACTGAAGTGGCCGGCAGCCCAACAAGAAAAGCCCTAAGGAAGCAATTCTTAAGATTCGTTATTTTGGTACGCCTAAATTACTTCCAAAGTTAATTACTTTCTGGTCAGCTGCTCCTGCTCTCCCAGAAGTCAATACAGCCATGCGGACATGACTTCAGAGACTCCCCTGGCAAGCTGAGCTCCATGCATTGAGAGATCAAATGCACAATAAAAGCTGTGTGCTTAAAACATGCATTTTAACATGCATTATTAAATTTTAAAAGCATGGAAGGATTGAGGTACTCTACTCTGTATAAATATATGCATACAGATATGTCAGTAAACATATATTTGTGTACAGATCAGAGATTGGCTATGAAGAATACAGGAATTACTTTTTTAATTACACCTATTATACTACGAAACTATAAGATCTCACTATAAAGGAAATCCCATTCCCACTTCTGAGATATATTGACAAACTGTAAAATTTAAAATTAATTGATGCAGGCGTTTACACGAGGTCCGTTGAGCTCAACTAAGCCAGAACTTGGTTGGAGATTACCGCATACACAGACTTGCACAAGGATGACTTTAGTCTTCCTCCCCCAACAACTGAAAACTATTACAGTTGAATAACTAGGACACATTTTTCCATGCATGAATGTAACAGTTCCGAAGGAAACTTGACAATTTGGAAGTGTATGACAATATTTTTAACAAGCAACTAAGCAGTGCGCTGCTAGAACCCAAACTGCTTGTCTTTACGATGGAGAACTGAATGGACACTTCCGCTCAAGAATATGCCAACATGTAAGGCAATCAAACACTTTCAAGAGTGAATGGATGAACCCTTGACCCTGCTAAAACCTAAAGCCCCACAGCCAAAAGCAGAGAGGAAATTATTAATTCAATGGAACCAGGTTCAGCAATTACAAGACAAGGGTGGGCAGTGACTGGCACAGGATCCACTACTAAGCACAGGCAGACTATTCTCCAACCTTCCTTTTTGAAGTAACGGAAAAAAGTTTGGTAAGTCAGAGCAAAAACAAAGGGTGAAGTAGCTACAGTTATCCTGGGGCAATCATTTTACTTCCTAATGCTTATTCAGTGCATTACAAATAAATTCAAGACTGCTCGCAGGAAGGCCTTCTCAGACTTCTGGCACACTGCTTCCAAAGCTCAGGTCTTAATTAAAAATCAACCCTGAAAAAGGATATTTCTAACTTTTGAAATCCACAGAACCCAAAGTTTATCCTGGCATAATGGTTAGGCCATCTAACCTAAGTACTGGAGTCTTCATAAATAAACCTACAAGCAGGAAAACTACTCTTCCTTCAGAGGCCAAGTGCTCCATTACTGAGCAAGAGCTCTTATAAACTGATCCCAAGTGCACCTTCTGCAGGAAGCAGGTATCTGTTTCAGTGGAGCAAGAGGGCCAGCAAAAATTAGTTTACATGCATTTTTCCTGTTACCTGAGGGAGGGAAAAAACCTGTTTATATGATAAAGCCTGCTATAGAAGATACGCAGACCTGGTAGCCTTTCCTGGTAGCCTTTGGAAGCAGCAGATAAGCAAGAACTTAACAGAAGGCGGCAGGAGAAACTACTACATGGGAAGAAAACAGAAGAAAATAAAATCAATTCAGTCATCCAGAGGGCCCCAGGGTTGTCAGGGAATTGTCTCAAGGCAGAACCTCACCTTGCTCCTCACTAGCAAGTAGTGTGGGAACACAGTGGCCTTTCCCTCAGCCAGGGCATGACAGTTATGTTTTGTGGGGAGCTCTGTATCTCTGAAACCTCTTAAATGTGGCTGAAATTCATCAGACAGAACAGGCAGATACAGAAAGAGGGTGGAGGATGAAAAAACAGTACAAGCTCTTAAGTTTCATTTCCTTAGGAAACAGGCTTAAAAAAAAAAAGAACACACACATGCAGAAAAGTTAAGAAACACAAAGAAATATTCACCTAAATTTCGTTTTCCTAGCTAAAGAGTACATTAGATACTTAACAGCTGAACCTAACAAGGGCAGACATGCAGTGGCTCTGGTGACAAAAGAAAAAAAATTAAAAAATAATCAAACATTATGTATCCTTTATTAAAGGTGGTGGTGGAATAAAAATAAGAAAACAGTGATAGCACAACTGCTCCTATATAATACAGTCTATGGTCTCCCACTATGGAGAAACATATTTTGTCGCCATCACAAATTCTAACTACAAAGAGCTCAACCCTGACTAAATTTGGGCAACAACTGGGATGGGAGCCCGGGAGGACCAAGCTGTGGGGGTAGCTGCTGAGGAGCTGCTCCAATGTCAGACAGCTCTAAACCTTCTTCCCTCATTCCCAGATTATGAAACCTCTGCCTCAGCCACTTTTATTTCCTTTCTCACCTTTCTTTGTCAAAATATATGCTACACTTAAGTCAGAAAGGATCAGCTAGTCTTTCTGATACACGCTTCCTATCTGCTCACACATTGCTTTGCATTTTGACTTAGTGCACATTATTCCGCTTGGAAGTTTAAATATATTCCAGTTATCCTATTAAAATCTGCCCTGTAACACACCATCCCAACTCTGATCTCACAAACTTTGATATTCTTTCCTAACCCTAATTAACTTCACATTAGGTTTTAAGTTTGCTGAGCACCCAAGACAAATTGCCATTTTCCTTTGATCCATTCCTCTGACTCACCGTACCAGGTACAATGAAAGTAACAGAATCAAGCCATTCAAGAAAAATGGGCAATTTTTGAAGAAGTAACACCATAAATCCAATTGCAATATTCTCAGTTATGTTAACACCCTTTAAAACACATGAGTAGCCTAAAGGGGCTTCAAAAGTGGGTGGAAATAGACCCCCCCAATCAACAACAGGTGCTACAAGTTTGATTTTCCAACCCTCTCTCTTTATAAATCCCTCATTCTTTAAGGTTCAAAAGCTCAAGTTACACTACTGAAAGTTAGAAAGTGATTGCAGGTCACCTGAGCTGTGAGCTAAAAGGCATTATTGAAAACATCAGGGGCTGGGACAGGCCACAAGTGTACACACAGATAGTTACTATGGTTCAGCCTGATGCAGAAGAACTCAGGACATTAGATAAGGTAAACTTGGCCTGAGCTCTCAGATCAGCTGAACTCGTCATATCTAGGAGATACGAACATACATATCTTCGACAGCTTTGGGCCAGCACACTCAGTACCTGGCAACATCAAGCCACCTTCCGAAAGACCACGTCATAACCCACTTCATCAAATCAGTCAGACTAATCAGAAGGCAGAAGTACTGCCTGGAGACGGCTACACATGCATAAAGGCTTACCACCAAGTGACAAAATCAACATTTTTGCCAATGTTTTAATTGGCTTATATTTTTTAAATGTCCCTTCCTAACTTACCGTGCAAAACTAAACAACTCCAGAGTGTGTGTAATTTCAGATCAGACACAGCCGTAAGGTTTTCTTAATAGCTCTACAGTTACAGAATTTAAGACTACGCTGCTCCTAGCTAGACCTACCCAATGACCAGTAGGTCATTCCTTCTTGTTTGATATCCTTTTTCAGCTTCTGAAAATAAATTAATATAGTACATATCTGTATTTAAGAGAGAATAAAAATGCATAGGCTATCATATTTTAACGATTGCAATAAAAATGTAAAACTGCCGTTCTTTCAATACCCCTCTCTAATGCAGAACTGTTGCTTCTGAAAGGGGCAATCTTTTGGAAATTCAATTTGGAGACCATGTCTTTTTATAAAGAACATCATGTAATACGGTAAACACTATTCTCTCCCCCACAAATACATCTGACAGTACAGAAGATTTTTCTCTGGAATTTGTACAGATAAAGACGACATGGTGCTATGCAAGTGAGCATTTGAGTTCTGCCCGATTAATTCTCAGATCTTGAATTTTACTTCAAAAGGAAGAAGAAAACTTGCAAAACCCCAAGGAGTCAATGGTGTGCAGTCCTCCCAGTTCCCTGAGGGTCTTTACTAACATGACTCTGTTGGAATCATTTAACAGCCAAACATCCACAAACAAAAGAAAGTTGCCTTCAAAGACAAGCAGTGTGAAAGAAAACAAAAATCCCCCCAAACAAAACCATGATGAATGGGAGAATCTG